TTCTGAAAGAGCAGCCAAAGTCCTTAATGGCAGAGCCATCTCTGCAGCCCCATAACAATGTAAGTGAATGATCTTTACTGAAACAGACCGACTGTGTGGCGGACTCCATAGCTCCTGGAAGGCAGCCTATATAACTCAGAGACAGAGACAGGAAGCAGCTCCAGCACCTTGCAGCTGTGCCTTCCTCACACTGGCACCCCACTAAAATGCTGCTGGCCTTTTAAACTGACATAACACCACCTTGCCGAATAGACATTAATTATTACTAATTTCTTTTCAGTGACTAAAGAAGCCTTACATCAAGTTCTTATATAAATTTGTATTGGGGTGCCCATGTTACACAAGAGTTTCTGTGTATTTGTTATCTGAAATAATGCTATGTAAAACAAGGACAGAGTCATAGTTAGATTCAGTCATCAACATAACACACCTAGAAAAAAGGCATCTCAGTTTTGGAATTGAAGCCAACAATGAGAGGCTGTTTGGTGTTCCTAAGCCTGAGTCTAGGACTACAAGGGTTAATGCTTTAATAAAGGCCGAGGATCTGATCAGATTTAACAGATGACAACGGACACACAACAACTCAATGTCTTTAGATGGTATAAGCCCTTGTAACTTCTAAAATGTAAGCCTGCTGCTCTAGATGTGAAGGATTTTGAGTCCCTGCCCTGACTGCCCTTCATGATAGACTGTCCTCTGGACACGAAAGCTGAATAAACGCTTCCTTCCCATATTACTTTTGGTCACAGTGTTTCATCACAGCATCAGAACCCCTGCCTGAGTCAGCTTCCCAGGATATAAAGCAAGTACCACATAAGCTGATGAAACTAGCCTGATCACATGCCTTCAAAATAGCCTGGGAGTTATTTGGGTTATAGTGTACATATTCTAAAGGAACATATTCTTAAGAAACACATCTTAAGCTAGGAGTGGCAGCTCACTCACGCCTATAATCCCAAGCACTCAGGAAGCTAAAGCAGGAGGATTGCTATGCATTTGAGGCCAGCCTGGCTTACCTAGTGAGTTTCAGGCCACAGTGACCTCCAGATTGCGTTTATATATTTATTTGTTTACAGATATATATGCATATATGTGTGTATATACATTTATAAAAGGATAATAAAAAACATGAATTTGGAGAGGCAGAGTGGAAGGAGAGAGAGAAATGATGTAAATATAGTATACATATATGTAAGCTTAACTATATATCTAAATAAATTAAATAAGCTATCTTAACATTAAATCAGCTTTTCTCTTTTGTGTCAAGTAAAAATACAAGAAGCAAAATTCTTCAAAATCCAGAAGGGCTAAGCTCTTCTCTATAAGAGTTCTTGAAGGTTTTTGGTATTTGTAAGAATGAGTTTAATGAAGTAGAAAATAACATCTTCAAATTAACATCTTTCACTCTCTACATTACGTGAGCTACTCCACCATCTCTAGGAGCTGAACCTGGCACTGTTAATCATTTTCATTATGAGGATCCAGAAATCAAGAAAGTTGGGCCAGACAGTGGTAGCGCACGCCTTTAATCCCAGCACTCGGGAAGCAGAGGCAGGCAGATCTCTGTGAGTTCGAGACCAGCCTGGTCTACAAGAGCTAGTTCCAGGACAGCTTCCAAAGCTACACAGAGAAACCCCTGTCTTGAAAAACAAAAACAAAAACAAACAAACAAAAAAATGTTGACACTTGCCAGGCGGCATCTTTAATCCCAGCATTCCAGAGGCAGAGGCAGGTGAATATCTGTGAATTCAAGGCCAGCCAGGACTGTTACACAGAGAAACCCTGTTTCAGAAGACCAAAAAAAAAAAAGTGGGGGGTGAGTCTTAAACTAAAAAAACTCAAGAAAGCCACTGTGGTTCAGTGAAGACACCACAGACTGCAGAACCCTGATTCCCTCATGGTGTTGCTGCAGAGCTTCATATTATCACCATTCAATAGCTGTAACAGCCTTTGTGAAAACTAGTATAGTCAAGGTCGGAGCTTAAGAAAATAACTTTTAATCCATCTTTAAAACTTTCAAAATCTCAAAATTTCAAATTATTCCAAGCTACGGTCAAGAGTTAACCTGACACTAGACTGGCAACATGGCTCTTCGGATAAAGGTGCTTGGCACCAAACTTGACACAAGTACAAGTCCCAGAACCCACGTGGTGGAAGGGCAGAACAGACTCCAATGTACTGCATCATGTGTGTCCTACCCCCAACACACATGAACACTTAAATAAACAAATGTAAAAAAAAAAAAAAAAAAAACTTAAGTTCACACAGTGGGGCCAGGGAGATGGGTCCACAGGCAAAATTACTTGTTTGTAAGCCTGATGACCAGAGTTCAATCCCAAAACCCACATAAAAAGAAAGAAAAAAAAAATTGGCAGATGCAGGGACTAGAGAGCTGGCTCTACAGTTAAGAGAGCTTCCTGCTCCTGCAGAGGACCTAGGTTTATTTCCTAGAACTCCATCAAGCAGCTGCAACCTTCTGTAACCCCACCTCCAGGGGATCCCACACTCTCTGGCCTCCTCTGGAACCTACATGCCCATGGTGCACATAAACTCAACCAGGCACATGCAAGTCTTTAAAAATACATAAATATAGTTTTTAAAGCCAGGTAAGGAGAGCACAGCAATAGGAATGAAACCCTACCTCAAAAGTGAAGGTGGGGACACGGAGGATGGAGGATGGGGGATGGGGGATGGGGGACGGAGGTGGTGTAAACGACAGGACGGGACAGGATGGATGACACCATGACAACACAAGTTCACCCAAGCTCCTGCCCTAACTTCCCAATATCTGAAGGTGATATTCACTCACAAGCCTGGAGACACATGGCCCAGCCTTTATATTTCTGACAGCTGATGGGGAGTGAATAAGATGATGTCGACTTCAATCCCAGAGAGACAACACCAAAGCAGGGACACTGGATAGCAGTAAAAGAAACTATTTTCTACCCTAAAGGCTTGCTATCACTTACTCTTGGTTTACCAGGTCCTCATCCTCTGAGGATGATGCTGTTTCCTCCAGGTCCCGGGCCATCACAACTGGCATTTCCTTTAGAGTTTGTCATACAGTCAACAGACAGAGGCCTCAGAGACCTTTCTTCCTTGCAGTTTTACTGGAACAGACAATATGGATGGCAAAGACTCCTGTAAGAAAGTCAAAGGATTTCAAATACTACAAAGTTGGGCACTTCAAGATTTTGTGCATAACCTTTAAAATGAATTTGAAAAGGAATACATTATTCAGCCTCTGGGAACTCAATCTGTCACAGCGCAACTCATATGCCACAAAAATCAAGATTTTTTTTTTTTTTTGACAGAGTTTCTCCGTGTAGCCCCAGGTATCCTGGAACTCACTCTGGGGACCAGGCTGGCCTCAAACTCTTGAGATCTCCCTGCCTTTGCCTCCCCAAGGGCTGGGAATAAAGACATGCACCACCATGTCCTGCTTACAATTATTTTTTTCCAAACACAAGTGTCTCTGCTGTATCTAAAAGGTTGTTACTAAATTTGACTTCCTCACTTTTCATATACAGTGAACATAGCATGCACCAAGAAGGATAGGCTTTAGGGCACTCTGACATGGAATGGCTGATTGCCTAAATTTAGACAATTTGTTAGACAAATCTGATCAGGATCAAAATAAAAATTCAAGGTTCAAAACACTTGTACCAGTTAGACAGACTCTAGCACAAGCATACAGACGGACATGATGCTGTGTTTCTAGGAAAACCAATTCAACTTAATTTTTAATAAAAGGGTAATGAAAATATTTCCTCTCGCCAGGGATGACACAAATAGCTGGGGCGACAGATAGTCAAACACTCGTAATAAATATTCTGTTACTAAAAATCACACATTTTAATCCGAATCTAAAGCAGACACAAAAACTGGGAAACTTCCAGCTCTGCATTTCTAACTTCAAACTCTTTTCTGTGGAGGAAAAGTTCATGTTCATTGTTGGAGAAGAAAATAGAAACACATAGAAAAAAAAACCGCTCATTACTCAAAGATAATTGAGTAATTTTCCAGACTTTTGTTTGTCTGTGCATTTTCATATACCGTAAGACTCTAAACAAACGAAACAACTGCAGCAAGCAGCAACAGCAACCAACCCCCTCCTACTGTACTCATCTTCAGCAGAAGTGGCTAGTATCTACCAGCCTCGGTGATTCTTTTCGGACGACTCCTAAGGAAATTCCTCGATCTTCCCCAAAATGCCTTAGAGTCTTTTAAGTTAACCCAAAGTCTCCAAGCAGGAAGGATGCCCACCTTCCCTTGGCTCCCGGATGAGCAGGACGAGATCGGGTGCTCTGACAAGAGACACGATGCCAAAGGGAGTCCTTGCCCCTAGAGGGAACTGCCGCCAGCCCCACCCCAGCTCACCCCAACCCGGGCAGCTCCGCAGGTGCTCCGCCCGCAAGGACGCGGCGACTGTGCCGCAGCGCTTCTGCCCAGCACGCCCGGAAGCCAACAGCTGCTCTGGGGCTAGGAAGGAAGCGCAGCGGCGCTCGCCCAGCCTTGGAGCGCACCTCCCGGGAGCGCGCCCGACAGGCGTTTACCTGTCTCATCTTCTCATGGCTCGGGGCGGGCAGGCGGGGACCGCGCTCTGCTTCACCTCCCTCCTCCTTCCCCAGCCGGAATCAACGCAGCCGCCGAAGGCTGCTTCCCCCCGTTACTACAACAACCAACAAGCAACCGCCTGCTCGGAGCCACTGCGCAGGCGCCTGCCAGGGGCGCGAACAACGCTCGGCAGCGGGCTCAGACGGATGGCGTCACCACCGCGCGCCCAGGCGCCGGCGCAGAGCCAGGCTGTTGCCAGGATTTCTTGGCTTCTTTTCTTTCCGCGTTTTCCCCCACCCCTAAAAGGCTGACTCCAAACCCAGAGTTTCGCCACGCTAGACAGACGGGTTTACAGCGTGAGCGGCGAAGCGGGGAAAGGCTTAGGCGGCGGCAACCGCTGATTGGCAGCAAAGGGGTTCACTCCCTATCGCCTGCTCGACCTGAACCAGCCCAGCCAATCGGAGTGAGGACTGACAGGAACGACCCAATCCTAGAGCTGGGCTGAGGGTGGGGGCGGGGACAAGTGGCCCTGGTGGACCTGGCAGTGGAGCTGTCCTGGGGGAGCTGGTTTGTGGATGCCGCTGATACTCTTGCTGCAGTAGTACTGGGTCCTCAGGTAGGAGAATTTGGAATGCGGTGTAGGTGTGCGTGCTGCATACTAATGAGACTAAAGGCAGAATTTAGGAAAATGGGGGTTGCCTGGAAAACTACCTTTTGGGAGGGAAAGAAGTCTAGAAACGGTGAACAAGGGGATGCTAGGGAAATGGAGAAGGTTTGGTAAATTCTGGGGACAGATAAATGAACGAGAGCCATCACTGTGAGCCTAGCTCTGCAAGGAGCTTTCTCTTTTTCTCATGTAATTCTCTGGTAACCCTCGAGATAGATGTTTATGTCCCTATTTTACGGGTGAGAAAACCGAGGCTATGGAGACTCCGTGACGTGACTGAGAACCCCAGAGCCGAGTGGTGGAGCTAGAATAGAAATCTCTCTTTATTGATTGCTAATTAGCATTGCATCAACTCTGACCTGGGCCTGAACAAAATTTGGGAGTTGATGTTGTAAACTCCGCCCCTCCCACCACCTCAAAACTAAGATCTGTAGAATGGAAGGAATAAGTTCTGCATTCTGTTGAAAGGGAGCATGTGTGTGCAGCTTTTTTACTAACCCATATTGAGTATGGTGTTGAGAGGAGAAAATAAAGAGAAGTGGATCTTGGCCTGGGTTGTGAGTGCCTGTGAGGCCCAGCAGACTCCATATGGTTAGACTGGAACAGTCAGTATTTGGGGCCTGTTTCCCCTGAATTCATGATTCCTTTCCCTGAAGCCCTTTTTAGTTGGATTTTGGTCACTTATCTGTCTGTGCTGGGTAGTATGGAATCATACTGAAACATATGACCACAGTGATAAAAAGGCAGCCTGATAAGTTTCTTACAGCTTTCAGGCCAAAGAAGTTAGCCTGACAACAGGTAAATGAAAGGCCAAACAGATGATGATCATCGTGATAAATTATCTCTATGGCATCCATTTAGACCAAACTGATGGGAATTGCTACTCAGCGAAGCTTGATCTAAACAGAAAGTATAGAAACTAGCTCTTCTGTCGTCTGACGTGTTTCTGGTATGTTTAGCTTCCTCAAAAAAATGGCAACTTTGGTGCACGTGATGGTGCATGGCTTTAGTTCCAGCACCCAGGAGGAAGAGGCAGATGGATCTCTGTGAGTTCAAGGCCAGCCTGGTCTATGTAATGAGTTCCAGACCAGCCAGGGATACATAGGAAAAAAACCTGTCTGATGGCAACTTCATCAAAATGTTCTCAGGGAAATAGTATTTCCACAGAGTCCAACAGACCATGACACTCCGCCATATATTTATTAGCCGTGTAACCTAAGCACATCACTTGGCTGTTACTTCTGACCTCCATCTGCAAAATGGAAATACTAATAGTGCCTGCCTATCCCGTTATAGGGAGTCAGTAAAATACAACGTTAGATGTGTGGGGCAAGTATAGGAAACAAGTACCTCAAAACTGATAACTAGTGTAGTTTTTCCTGCAACCCAACACCGAGCCATGGAAGTCTCTTTAAAAATCTTTTAGGTTGTTTTAGTTTATGCAACATGATGTATCTGGGAGCCAAGCAGATACCAGTTGGGCAATCCCACCATAGCTTTCACCCAAATGGATGATACGGCTTCTATAAGTTTGGAAGGATGTGTCTTCAGTATCGAGGCATCTTGAGTAGAGCCACCTTGGAGCCACTTGTGTTGCAAAGGAGTGGCATGAAGAGATGAAAGCATAGTACTGATTCCAGACATGGGAGGGAATTCTGGCTTACAGCAACACTGGATTGCTGGAACAAAGGGAGATGCTCTGCAACTTGCTGCAAGGTGTGCTGTTCATTCACGCTCATTAGAGTGACTGAGCATTGGCAGCAACTCAAGCTTTACCCAGAAATCCATTCTGTTACTTTATAGAAACACTACTGCACCCCATTTCTTCTGTTCCCCTCCTTGCCATTTCTATCCTGCTGGCATTTTTACCCATTGCATTCTTCTTTAGCCTCTGTCACTCTGGGCGGAGATCAGCACACCTCTGCTTAGGGTAAACATTCCTGGGCATCTTACGAAGTAAAAGTGGCGTGGCCAGAAAGCAGGGTGGGCCCAAAGGACTTGGAGAGGAATCTGTGTGAAGTGTCTGCTGGTGTCACTCAGGCCAGCTTTCGTGAGTGGGACACAGATTAACCACGGATGAGAGAACCTGTGACCGATGAGGAAGTACCTTCATTGTGCCCTCTTTGTTTCCAAGGCAGAGCATCCTCTCCTTGAGGGGAATCATGAGCCGCTTCCTGAACGTGTTACGGAGCTGGCTGGTTATGGTGTCCATCATAGCCATGGGGAACACGCTCCAGAGCTTCCGAGACCACACCTTTCTCTATGAAAAGCTCTACACTGGCAAGCCAAACCTTGGTAAGAAGTCAAAAGCGCTGGCTGAGCACCATATCACATCCTGTAATCCCAGCAGAGCAGGAGGATAGGGCAAGAAGATTGAGAGTTCAAAGCCAGACTGGACGACTTGGTGAGATCCTGTGTCAAAAAATAAATTTATTGCTGGGCATGGAGGTGCATGCCTTTAATCCCAGCCCTTGGGAGGCAGAAGCAGAACCCTGTGAGTTTGAGGCCAACCTGGTCTACAAAGTGAGTTCCAGGACAGCCAGGGCTGTTACACAGAGAAACCCTGTCTCAACCCTCCTCCGCCCCCAAAAATTAATTAATTAAAACAACAGAAAGAATGTAAAGAAGTGCATTCTGTGTAGTTAATTCCTGAACTGGGCTATATGTCTGAACAACCCAGGCTGCTTAAGGCCTATCAAAGCACAGGTACTTATTTGCATCTCCAAATCTAATTACTAAACCTGGCTGGGAATCCAGTTCTAGAAATATCCAGGTGGTTCTGCTGCCTAATCCAGCCTTGGTAGCCACTAGAGTAATAGAATGTGTGGGACACATTGACTCCTTTTCCCCAGTTGTCTCCGGATACCTCCCATACATTTGACACTGCCCTGGACAATTTGTGTGTTCACAAGCACATGCATAATGCCAAGTAAGGAAACAGAATGACATGTTAACTCTGAGATACTACTAGAAAGCCATAAGGAGGCATTTTACTGTATCTCAGTGCCGTCATCAGAAGTCAGGGCATGGCACACATGGGTCATAGTCTTTGTAGCAGGTAGACAGTTACCCATCCAAGATCATCACAAATGTCTCTAAGTGAATACTCCAAATCCCTTCGAGGTCTTCTCTCAGAGTAAAACATGCAGCTCACAGTGGCCTTTGCCTACTCACTTAGCTCTCCACTGCATATCTGTGCTCTGCAGCTGGCACCTCACCCCGTTGACACTGGGGTACTTGGAGCTACGGCACTGATTGACAGCAGCTGACAGCTCTGTCACATTTATAGCTAACCCAGATCCAGGCTCTGACCTACTCGTTCCTCTGCAACATCTAGGTAGAAGTGAAATTAAGTAGGCTGAGGCTTATTTTGAACGAAGTTTGAATATAATGGGAATGAAGAACCTGGAAAGTGAGCTGGAAGGATGTGTGTGTCGTATATATACATATATATGGTATACATCTCAGTTGTCATGGAACTTGTATAACTGCACAGGATTTTAGAAATAATCTGAAAGTGTAGAGGCCAGAGAGAGAGAAAATGAGTGTGTGTGTTGGCAGAACAATGCTCTAGATGGCCCAGACGTGTAACCTTTGACTTGATCCTTGTCAGGTTTTGAGTATCTTACACTAAAGAAATTTCTTCAGTCTTCTTTAGGAAAGCCATCAACTTGGTTTCTAAAGAATGTGTGGCCAAATGGCTGACATTTCAAATATTTTTTCATTACTATCTAAAATGTCTTTAGTGTGAATTTAGTAGAGTTGTCTGGTTTCCAAAGGCTAAAGAATTTTTAAAGCCTAAGTGAATGTTAATAAACCATTCAGTTGTCAGCTTTATCCATTGTTTTTTGTTTTGTTTTGTTTTGTTTTGTTTTTTTGTTTTTGTTTTTTTACCCCCAGTGCTGGGAATCAAACCCAGGACATCTTATCTTGCATGCTAGGCAAGTGCTTAACAACTGAAATACTTTCAGAATTTTATTTATTTATTTATTTATTTATTTATTTATTTATTTGAGTGCTTACTTAATAATTTATTTATTTTACTCAATAAGAGAGAGATCAGCAAAACAACTAGCTGTGCTTTAACAGTTTCAACGTTTGGATCCACTGGGTGCTTCAGTTCATTGGCTCTACATTTAAGTCACACAAGCAGGGTGCTTCTAGAAAATACTCATGCCAGGACTCATCTCTAGAGAATCCGATATAACCGGTCAGGTGTCCAGAGATTGGGAATTTCTTAAAACTCCTTCAGGTGATACAGAAAGTGCTCAGGGTCAAGAGCCACTGTTATGGTGAAATGTGACTCAAATTTTCAAGGCAAGATATTTAATACAACAGCATCACAGTGAAGCCACCAAGAACAGAGGCCCCAGAAAAGCCCAGAGAAATAGAATTTTTTCCACTTCCATGTGCACAAGAAGCCATTCTGGTTCGAGCACCGTCCCAACAGAGCAGACCTTAGACCTCTGAAAGCTTGTGTCTTGAACACATCTACATTCATTGGTGCTGGCGTCTGGTCTCCCCAGCAGTCTGCAAAGGCTATGTATGGGTCCTGCTAGGCATCTCTGTGTTAGACCATCTCTGCAATATTCCCTTCAAGCTGTAGGCATCTGAAGAGAGCTGAGCAGCCCTCAGAATTCCTTTCATTCTGGTCCCCAGGGGCCCCCACAGGGAGGTCAGGCTCCACTACCTTCTGTGACCCACCAGGCAAGCAGACTAGGACAAAGCTCACCTCAACCCTCCCCTTCTCACCATTCTTGTTTTTTACTACACAGTGAATGGCCTCCAAGCCCGGACCTTTGGGATCTGGACGCTGCTGTCATCTGTGATTCGCTGCCTCTGTGCCATTGACATCCACAACAAAACGTATGTCAGGGAAAGAAGGCCTTTGGCTTCCTTTCGTTGCCAATCAGGCTCCAAGAAGGTGCACTGCCCTGCTGTTGGGACCTGTTAAATCAGTTTACTGCATTAGCATAGAGCATAGAAAAGGGAAGTCCTGTTGGACCATTCCATCCAGGCCTGACATACCTATAGGCCTAACAGATCATAGCGAATGGCAGTGCCATTTTCCAGTGGTCTGCATCATACCTCTTGGCTGGAGCCCACCTTCTGTTTAGTTTAGCCCTGAACATTTGTTTTGGTTTCATTTCTCAGTGCTGCTGGATTAAATGAAGGTTAGCCCTGAGCTTCGTTCCCTAGCCACACACATACCTTTTACACATTCCTCATGAATCAGGAACCACCAGAAATTTACGAAAAGAGAGAAACTCACAAGCTGAAAGAGGCCCATGAAGAGGTCAGTCAGTAAGGGAAACATGTGCTGCCTCTCCAAAGAGTGAGAAAGCATAAACAGGTACAGGCCATCCTAGCCTTTGGTCTAGATGATGCCATACCCAGTCCTGGCCACTGGAGGGGGCTCAAGCTTTCTTCCCTGCAGTAATCACTGTCTTAAAAAAGCATCCATTGCTCAGTTCACTGGGTGAAGCTGTCAAAAGGCCAACCTTGCACTGAAATTTTTTTATCTTGTCCCTCCCCTCAGCGTCTACGGAAGAGAGGAAGCAATAATATTTATGACTCCTCTCTGATTTTGCCAAGAGCGTTCACCTAAATGACCTTGCCTCAGTCTCTTAGCAACCCCTTGGGGGAGAAGCTAGTGATTTTCATTACTGAATTTGTATTATAAATATTAAAAATTCAATTAATTTAAGCAGAGAGAGACTGACTCAAGTGGGATTTGAAGCAAGACTATTAGCCCTTTGATCTTTCCATCTTTATTTTTAATTTTTTTTAACTTGAAACTGGATTACATGTCCTAGATTGGACACATATTTTTAGAAGCAGTATGGTTTAGTGGAAACTGCCCCGGGGCCAAGAATGGAAACAAGGAAAACATTCTGCTCTCAGTGTTGCTGGTAACTGGGTATATTACCTACTCTCTCTGCACCTTGGTCTCCATCTATAAAAAGGTAATAGTTGGCTGATGTGCCTCTCTGGGTGAATGAAAAGAAGGGAGGATTGGATAATCATTTTTGAGGACCTTTTACCGCCTTTCAGAATTGCTGCTGGCATAAGGGATGCAGCCTCTGTTTGCTGTGAATTTAGAGTGAGCAGAAAATTCATACCTTCACCCCTATTTCCCATCTAGCTTTCCCTCCTCTGGCCCAGAGCAGTTGCCAGTGCTGAGTTAGTGATTCCAGTCATGTCTAGCGTAGGTGTGATCCATGGACCTCTCACGCATCCTGAACGTATTCTCTCCCTAACCAGAGACTCAAAACGATCATGCACACAGGGATGTGCATGTACACACACATGCCCCAACATGCACCAGTATGATAACCAGTTAAAGACACTGGGTCCTTGAAAAGGAGAGGGAGGAGAAGGCATTCAGGGGAGGCTAAGGGTGCACAGATGTTTCCATTTCTGTAAATGTTTATTTCTTAGAATATAAAAGTATCCAGCCGGGGATCTAGCTCAGAGCCAAAATGCTTGCCTGGCATTCATGAGGCTCTGAATTTGATACCCAGAACCAGAAAAAAGGAATTGGAACCAAAAGTATCCAAATGTTAAAACTGGTAGGGCTGTCTTGGTCACACTGCTTCTCTACTTGTAGTGTATCCTAATTTTTTTCTTATAGTTTAAAAAAAAAAAAAGACACCCTAAATTTAAGTGGTTAGCAGCCACCTCATTGTCAAAACTGAGGGTCAGGTTCTCCTCTGGAGTTGCTGCATGTCCTCCTCAGACCAGATCTTAGGCCAAGACATAAAGTAGCAAACCTGTACTCCAAGAGCATCTGAAGGCCTCTTGCTGCTTAGAACATTCATTTATGGTTCCATCACGCAAACGCTGGCTGGCACATGGCCAGACACCTGCTAGGGTAGGCTTAGGCTAGCAGTTTGCACTGAGCACATAAGTATCTTGGTCCAGAATTGTTGCACTGCCTAAGACTACCATCCAGATTCTCCCATAGCTGGGTTTTCTCTGCCTTGCTAAGTCATAGAGGCCCACTGTGGCTGCTTGGCCCATGCCTCAAAATACCTCTTCATTTGCCCCCGGGGATCGAAGAACTTGATGTGATTAAATAGCCAGGTGTTTCTGAGGAATGAGTGTCGTCTCAAGTCATGTCACTCATGTCAAGTCAGCTGACACCCTCTGCAGTTCTGCACCAAACATGCAGTCAAACATTTGCTTTTCCGTTTTTGTCTGTTCCCTTTGCAGACTCTATCACATCACACTATGGACATTCCTCCTCGCCCTGGGACACTTCCTCTCAGAGTTGTTCATATTTGGAACAGCAGCTCCCACAGTTGGTGTACTGGCACCCCTAATGGTGGCAAGTAAGCATGGGGCCACCCTAGACCCCTGCAGTGGTGACCCCTGCAGTGGTGACCCCTGCAGCAGTGGTGGGGCTGGTGTGGAACACAGGTGTGCTGGGCTTGCGGGGTGCAGTTTTTATGTCTACCACTGATCTTTCCTATGCCTTGAAGGTCTCTCAATCCTGGGTATGCTGATTGGGCTCCGGTATCTAGAAGCAGAACCAGTGTCCAGACAGAAGAAGAGAAACTGAAACTGAGGCCAACCTTGCCACCTCCAAAATGCCATCATCTTCCACCTTCGCTGTCTTCGTTCTTCATCCTCTGTCCTTAGATCATGTCTTTTCAGCTGTGACATTATCTCTTTCTTCTGGGTTCAACATCTTAAGCCTTTGAGGTTTTTTTTTTTAATGTTTTTAACTTTTTAAGATATTAATACAGAAAAATTATATAACATGTATGTATAATTTAGAGTCATTTAAGAAATATTCTGTTACTCCATCAAGATCAAGAAATCCTCAGAAGCACCCCCATGTGCCCTCTCCTAACTGGACCCCCACCCCCGCCAAGGCTCCCTTTTCCAGTCTTCCACTTTTTCCTTTTATCTCCATTCCTTGATTTGACTTGTGTGGTGGGAACATGAGAACTGTGAAACTCAAGCTGCTGCCTGCCCAGAGCAGCTGCACCCAAGGGCTGCTTCAAGGGGCTGTCCACACATACCAGGCTCCTTTCTGCTGCTGGACCCAAGACTCTGAACCACCCAAGGGACGGGCAGTTCTTCCAAGAAGGGCTGCCCTCGGTGTAAGCAGGACCAGCCTTCTCTTTTATCTACAGGTGGATAAGGTTAGAAGAGTCTGGGCTGTTTTTAGACCTTTTGGTCAGTTGTATTTGTGTAATGCGTTTTATAATAAATAGAAAAACCATCTATTGTGATCAGTCTGTGTATTTTGACCTTTCCCGAGAGCCTCTTTGCCCTCCATGAGCCCCGACACTGGAGCATCATAGCTTTCAGCATCTTTACATCCACTGTAGAGAGCAAGATAGCTCAAGACCCAGGAAAGCCTGGCCGCCTCCAGCTCCTCGTTGTCGCTTGTTTACTTGTGTTCTTGATGCCAAATCTCTTCTTCCATCTTCACCTTCAGGATTCTACTTTGACCTCTCAACAGTCATGGCCCTTTCCATTCTTCCCAAAGAAGTAAATTCTTGAGAACAGATAGAGAAAGTAGAACAAAGCAGTCTAGGAGAAGCAGCTGTGACCGAATAAAGAAGCAAGGTCAATGCCTCCCCATGTGAACAGCAGAAACAAGGTCAAAGCCTCTGTGTGAGCAATGCTTCCTGAGCACTGCTCCAGCTTGGCCACCCACACACTGTATATTCAGCAAGCTGGTCATTATTTCAACAAATACCTGTGAGTATTTGTCCATGTTAGACCCTCAGGATGGAGACATGAACAATAGGCATGGCCATGGATCTCACGCTGTCAAGATAACAGGTTCCACAGAACAGCCAAGAACTTCAGACAGAATTCTGTAAGGAAGCAGGTGTTTGAATCAAGAGGTGGAGGGAGGAACTGTTGCAGGATGATCTTTTTGTGCACTGTGAAGATGTGTCACTCAGATTTGTTTAATAAAAAGCTAAACAGCCAATAGCTAGGCAGGATTTGGGGGGCAAGAAGGGACACCCAGCAAGCAGCATGGACATTACAAAGTAAAGGTAACCTAGCCGTGTAAAAGCATGTAGATCAAAAGATATGGGTTAATTTAAGTAATAAGAACTAGTGGGACAAGTCTAACCTAAGGCCAAGCTTTCATAATAAGTCTCAATGTCGTTATTTGGGAACTGGCTGGCAGGATAAAAAGACTTGCTACAAGGAAGACATAATTAAACAGACCAGAAAGATCTCCCTGAGCTGTGGGGCTTCCACTGAGACTCAAATGCCTGGGAAGTAGATGTTATCGAGCATTTGGGGCAAAAGGAACAGCAACTGTTCAAGGAATGAGGTCAGTGAAGCTACAGAGGGGTGAAGGCTTTGGCTATGAAAGGTAAAAGGTTGGAAGAGGGAAGTGGCAAGGGTAAAGGAGGATGGCTGATGTTTTCCGTTAAATACGTAGGAAAGTGCTTTAGAGGGAAAGTTTGCCTCAAATGACTAACTAGTAAAGATGGCCTGGCTGTTGTAGCCCTAAAAAAAAAGACTTCCTGGGATTTGCTGGTGTTTTAGTCAGGTCTCTAGCTCCCTTTGACTGAATTCTTTCAGCTTTGCATGGCTCTGGCTTCTCATTCAGGCTGGTTTCATTTATATTGCCAGAAGAGAATGCAGTTCCAGACCTCAGATCCCCATAGCACTGGAAAGGCAGCTCTATGGGAAGAATTGTCTTCGCCTGCTCACAGTTTTAAGAGGGCAGCGTAAGAGTAGGACTCAGTCCCTCCCCTATGTCTAGGGGAGCATGGTTTCTCCAGACAAGAACTGATAAGAAAGAGTGCCAGAATGTCATGGGCATGGAGCACATCTCAAGGCAGGAAACACGCAGGGACAGCTGTGAATCTGGTAACCCATATAAGTTGAACGGAGTGGAGAAGAGCAGGGAGGACCATCCAGGAGAAAGTCACCAAGCTAGAAATAAGCTGTGGACACTGGCCAGAGCAAGCTGGTGTGGGTCTGGGGTGATCAAACAAAAGACTTCAGCTGCCCTTTGAGGCAGAGCCAAAGACAACAGTGGCTTTTTCTCTTGGGGAGGAGCACATTCCAGCATATACACAGTAGTGGGAAAGTCAGGGTCACAGGTTGGCCACTCAGTTGTATCTTCTATGTAGGCGGTCAGGAACCTTTAAAGTCTGTTAAAAACTCCAACAGGATGTTACACCCTTGTCAACAAAGGACACAGATGTTCTGGCCCCAAGCCCTGCCCCTCACCCCCAGCCGTCACCCAGACAGTCTCAGAAAAGAGTGATAACCTTGTGGGAGACTGCCCAAAGCTGCCACTACCTCACCAAATGACAAGGCAGACTATTTTGAAAATCTTTATTGCCTTAAAATATCTGGTAATATAAACAGAAAATACAAATTCTGTTTTTTTTAAATAAATGGATTGAGTAAACATGTCCATTTTGAACAGTTGAAGAAAGAACACCTTTCTCTTGACAGAAAGTAAGGCACCTTTCCCTCCCATCCCTAACACTCCTTCCATCACACTGCTTCCCTCCCGTCCACTGTGTCTACACACAAAATACAAACACACATGTATGTACACACAAGTGGATCTCCTCTGGCCTGGCACCCCAATACTGCAGGCAATCTAGCTATTGTTGTATACTAATGCCATGGCCAGGGCCAGACAATGCAGTGGTCTTGACCTGAGTTGCTCAAGGCATAGGAGATATTAGTTGCCAGTTTCTATTGGAGGAGACACTACAAAAGCCACGAGTAGAACCATCAGCCTAGGTGAGGAAGGAGGTCAACCAGGATTGGTTTAAAAGGAGTCCTTTTCAATGTAAAATATCTGGCAGATTTCACTAGCATAGGCAGGGAGGGGGTTTGGTTGTGCAAATACGGTCCCCAACATGCCCAGGTTTATGTTTACCTGAAACAGACATAATGTCTATTTTAACAGCTACCTTCTGCCTCTTTCCTCAGAGAGAGCCTTGGGTGTCAGAGTAGAGCAAGTGAGACAAACTTTCAGTAAAGGTTAGAGTCACGAGCCGCAGGGCTGATGGCAGCATTTCCCATTGCAATATCCAATGAAGACATTCTGAGTGTCCTGGGACACTGGAGTCCCCGGGCAAGCACCTCTTTTGTAAGAAAGCCCCTTCCCATGCCAGCTCAAGCTACCACCTCAGAGCTACACACACACTCAAGGTAGCCCAGCACTGTTGCACCTAGGCAGGAAGCCCTCTCCAATCATTTTCTCCTTCAGGGCTACAAGAAAGGTTTTGTCTGGTTTATTGGTGTTTTGTCTCCTTGACTCTCAGGAAAGAAGGTCGAAAGGGAGACTGCCATGTTTGGTCAGGAGGGCCAAGGCCGAGAGTCTTGATAGAGCTGCCTTTGTGGAATGATGGGCTCTGACGGAGGCTGTACCATGGTGCTTCCTCATCGTGACCCTGAGGCAGAGCAGCTTGTCTGTTCTCAGTAAGAACCGGGCTCCGTGTGGGTAAGTCTTAAGACATTAGAAAAAGTTAATATCCTGAATAAGCTTTCTTGGGATAATTCTGCAAGCATTCTCCATGAGAGAAGGGATAAGAGAAGGCAAGGGACCAAGCAAGGATGGACTCCAGCACCCTCTGCCAGGCTCTCCCAATGCTAGCCCCAAGACCCAACAGGGAGAGAGGACCAGAATCCAGACTGCATCTGGAGAGAGGTGAGGTTTCCCACAAGTAAACCATCCAGGTTCTCAGAAAGGGCCCAGTAGGTATAGGCACTGCCTTGTAAGTCACAGATCTTCCAGCTGCTTCCTCTAGAAGCTTCTCCATGAAGATCTAGGTGCTGACAGTGACAGCTAAACAGAGCCAAGAGGTGAGTGTCTGTGTTCCTGAGTCTCTGCCACCTCTCTTTCCTCTGTCTCTCTCTCAGAGACGAGCCTCTGACACAACGGTGGGCGTGGGCACCTTGCTGATATTGCTCTCTTCATCCTCCTGGATTTTCTAGAAGGTAAAGAAAACAAGAAGCCCTGTGATTAAAACACACAGACCTCCTCCCCACTGGCTGAAGCAGATCCCTGTCCATGATGGATCAGTGTGAGTACAAGGGCAAGAGGCTACCCACTGCCCCCCCCACCAGAGAGTAACTAAAAGTCATAAGGAAACAAGCAAGCTGTCCAGCCTGAGTGTGTACCCCCAAATACTGCCCCCCACCATTACCATCCGTCAGAGGGGGCAAAGTCAGCATCCTGTTCTGACAGTCCTAAACTCACCTCCCCATGCCATCAAATAGCTGCTCCAGGTTCTGGATTGGCAACTCCCTCAAACACTCCAGCTAGCCCAACTGGGAAGGCGGCCCCCAGGGCAAGGGTTATTATAATGTCCATTGAATGGATGCCATCGAACAATTCTAAGACACCCTGTTTAACTGTATATCTGAACTCAATGGCTGTGTGGTTATCTGTACTCAGAGAGAATAATACTATAGAAGCTTTTGGTGGAACCCAGTTTGGACTTGGCTTCTCTGGGGGAAGGGTAAGGCATGGAATTCATTTATAAGAGGTCTTCTGGCTCACACTTGTTAAGTAGGTTTAGGATTAAGCATGGCCTGGAAATTCTCCTGTAGGGTCCCTGATACATATTGCCAAGTTGGGCATCTGGCTATCTTCTACTTGGCAAAAGGACCTTGAACACAGACAAGAGCCAGCACTGCTCAGGGCCCAGGGGAGTGTATGCAGGGCCAAGCTAGAGGCCAATGCCAGCTGGACAAATTTTGTCCCTAGGAATGCCTGGATCCCATCCATGGCAAGAGCCACAGCTGTAGTAACCCAGTCTTGTCCTCAATCTTGCAGGCCCTTGGGCAGCAGATCTGCCTCAGCCACTAGGAACCTTCATTCAGACCACTCACAGCTGACACGGTCACTCTCTGCATTGGACACACACAATGTACACATGCCTGTCTCCTCTGAGGCTACCACCTCAAAACTGCCATCAAAAATAGGGCAGGCATAGGGAGGCACATCTACTGTCGAGGTACTGGAAGAAAAATGGACACCCAAGGTTTCACAGTCAAGGTGACATTATTCACTCTGTCCTTAGTTCTCTCTTTACCTAAACAGTACATCTCACTGGTATATAGGAAGGCCTGGTGCATGCCCTGTCGTCACTGGGCTCTGACAATGTGTTTGTCTCCAAGTCTCTGAGTTACACTGACTGCCATGGGGTGTGTAATGATCAGAGCTCCAGAAAAAAAAAAAAAAAAAAACCGATGTACCGGCCACCGTAGCTTCCTTC